CTCTTGTTCCTCCCACGCGGTTCTGGTGAGCTAAGAAAATGTTTATCTCCCTGAGCTTGGCCGTCATAATTCCATTCCATCACAATGGGTTCCCTATTTTCTGGAAGGATGTCCCACAACTGGGGGGCTCCACCCAGGGGGCCACCCGCCTCCCGAAAGCCTTTTTCCAAAGGTGCAGGTTAACCGCCTCCTTTCGGGCCCATTGAGGCTCCTGAGCGTCACAGTGGACACGACCACCTCCCATTGTGAGGTGGTTAGCCAGGGAAGGGCAGGGAGGCTCCGATGGCACGGAAGGGTTTTCCTTTAGCTCCACAAAGGAGGCAAGCAGAGCAAGGCCTGGAGAGACGTGGAGGAAGGATTAAAAAAAAAACAGCTCCCTCCCCCCCAGGAGCCAAATTTAAGCGGGTGGCAGAGTGCCCCCCTGTGGGCAGCGTGTTTGGCGAGAGGTTTGGACTTCAGAAAGGGTTTGTGGTGCCTGATGTGTCATGTCATCTCCCCCCACCCCCACCCGCCATCCATCTTTAGCTGCACTGGCTGAATACTTACTAAAAGACCAGCAAGACGCCCCGGTGGACGAGCACTTTGGTGAGCATCCTCTTCCCCCTCCTTTGCTATCCTTTGCTTCCAGGGGCCACATTCAAGGCCCCCTTGGGAGGGTCCGGCTTTCCTCTGGCCAGGATGGGCCACCCCAGAGCTGGCCGCCTGAGCAGGAGAGCTTCCCCAGGCGAAGGGCTCCATGCCCAGCCTGCTCTTCCTCCCCTCCCACCCTTTATTGGCACCGGCTGCTTGGGCTTGTTTTCATTCTGGGATGCTTTTAATTCGGGTGTTGCCCCTCCCCAAAGGCCCTCCTTCTTGCATTTAAATCACGGCCCTCCCCCTCTTTTCTTCCATTTGCCCCACTCCCAGCCCCGTCAGTGCTAATAATCCTCTCTGGTTCTTCTCTTTTGCAACCAGAGAGCCTCTTTTCGGATGTCGCAGCTGCTGAAGGCTCCAGGGGCTGCACAGAGGCCCCAGATGCCAAGCGCCAAAAGCTGGGTGAGTGGGCGCCTCCCTCGGTGGGCGGCTTCTCTTCCAGCAGCCGATCTGCGCCCTGCCCCAATCCCCTTCCACACACGGGACTTTGCGGCTGCCTAGCACGGCGGTCGCCTTGCCCTGGCCCTTGAAAGAGAGGCCCACCAGCCCCCTTTTCTCTCTGGCTCTTCTCCACTTCCCTCGCGTTGTGGGACCCCCTTTCCGAGAGTCCAACTGTCTTCGTTTCCTTGCGAAAGATCTTGCCTCTTGCACCTTCTGCCCTCAAAGCGTCCACCTTCGCCCCCTGCTCCACCTTCTGGCCATCCTGATGCGAAGGCCGCCTTGGGCTGCTTGAGTCGCAGTCTCTGCCCAAGTGAGTGAGTGGGAACGGGACTGGCGCTGCATTGCTTTGGGCAAGGCCTGGTAACCTTCCTTTTCTTCTACAGCTCTCTCGCCGGCTCTGTGCATTGTGAGCGGGGACCCCGTCACCGTCCCTCTGAGCCCCGACCAGGAGGGCACCATCTCTCCGTCCGACTTCCGCGTGCAAATTTTGGTGGCCGCTGTTGGCCCTGCGGGGAAACCTCCTGAAGCGTTCGGTACGTGAAAGCAGCCACGGGACCTGGGCTCTGTGCCCGACAGGCCGATGCTCTCCTGCGGCAGAGTGTGCCTGGATGGGTCTCAATGGCAGAGAAGCATCAGTTGCAGAGCCGGGCTGAGAGCAGCTGGGTTGGGAGGGCTTCTTCTCCTGCTGCATGGCCCGTGGCACATGGCCTGTGGCAGCCCCCGGCAAGAGGCTGGAGCAAATTCCAGGGGTGGGGGCTCTGCTCAGCCCCCCTCCCTCTTTCTCATTTGACCTGCTGCTGATCTGGAGGAGGAGGAGGAGGCCGGTGTCCCCCTGTCTCCACCACCCAGGGTTGGATAGAGAACTGGGCTGCCCAGCTTGGGGCCCTTGGTTCAAATTCAGTTCCTGCCCCTGCATTGCAGTGGGGGAAGAAGCACCACCTCCCCAAGAGATGCCAATCTAGAGGCTGTTGCTACAGACCCCTCCTTCAACCGGGAGACTCCTTGCCCTCTTGGTCGGCCTCGTTCAGCCCTCAGAGTGATGGGAGTGGGCGTCCGAGACGGCTGGGCAGGCTGATTCAGATGGCACAAGCGACTCCCGCTCTAGCGGTCTGTTCTGGAGATGTCTCCAGCATAAGGCAGGGAAGGTATTTTGGCCCAGTTTTGACAGAATGAAAACTCCCTGTCCGTTTTTGTGTAGCCAAAACCACACCACCCACCGACAAGAACGGGGCATCAAGGTTTGTAGCCTTCAGAGCTCCTGGCTTTGGATGGTACCACCAGGATTCACAGTTGACTCTGGCCGGGCTTCAGTCCCTTCCTTGCAAGTCTTCCTCTGTGGGAAGGAAGGAGGACTGAGAGCAAACCTTCCTTCTCTCTCTTTCGCAGGATCTTCTGCAAATCCGGAGCTCTGGTGCTTCCCGCGACATATGAGCAATATCCAGATGATCTTCACCTTTGAAAATGCCCAGGACCCCCCCTTGCCTCCTGGGCCACCAACTTCCCCAGGTGACTTCCCCGTTCAGCCTTTCCCACAGGCCGCCTCCAAGAGAGCTGGATCTCAGGACCATCACATCACCCAGCAAGGCCCAAGGCCAGGTCATCTGGGAACCTGTCCTGGAGAAAGCTGTGCCAAAGTAGAATAGTGCTTGTACAAAACCACAGTAGGATTTACCCAGAAGTTAACTGGTCTTGATGGAGGTCCCCCCCTCCCTGCTTCCTGTTCTTCAGGGGGCAGGAGGGTGACCAACTGGCTGTTTATTTATGGGTGAAGGATGTGGGAGCGGTGGGCTCATTATGGGTGGGTGGCACCCCCTCCCTCTAAGCCAGCTTCCCAAAGCCTTGGGGAACTCCAGGTTCCCCAGTTTTGTGCCAGTCCTGGATCTGCCAGTAAATGAAAGCACCATTGAAAGAAACTTGAAGGATAAGTATCTCAGTGGGGTCACCCAAGCCAGGTTCATAAGTCATGGGGGAGACCCAGATTCAGTTCCAGCCTGGGGACTTTGGGCCAGCCCCTCCCTCCCAGGGTGGTGGTTGTGGGGAGAAATGGACAAGGGAGTGCTATGAAGGCCACCCTCAGCTCTTTTCAATGAAGGAAATCAATCGTGCTAAACCATGGTTTGTTGAACAAGCCCAGATGACCTGGTCCACATATAGTGATAAATCTTGAATAAGCTCCTCCTGCTGGGTCTGCCCGTTCTGGTTTGCAAAGGAGTTGCTTGCAGGGATACCTTGGGAGTCACAAGAGGGGGAGAACTTTGAAGAAAGGGCAGGACCTCAGACTTAAAGGTGCTGGCTTTCTTCCATGTCCACCCCATGCTCCTTGATCTTCTCTGCCCTTTTCTAGAGCTGGTGAGGGCCTTCTGCAAGCGGATGAAAGACCATTTCCGGAGAGAGTGCCAGTCAGGGCCTCGGCAGCTCCTGGGAGATCTTTACCTTGACGGGGACTTGGTGCAGCATCGCCCAGACAGTAGGAGTGGGAGGAGTGCGGACCTGAGGTTCTGCAACCCAGGAGAGAAGTGGGAGGCCCCCGTGGAGAGAAGCAAGCTATTCCAGATGCCTGGGAAAAATGACCTGGGCAGCAGAGTCATTGTGGTCTTGGGGAAGGCAGGCATGGGGAAAAGTCTTCTGGTCCAGAAGATCTGCCTGGACTGGGCCAATGGCCAGATAGCCCAATTTGACTTTGTTTTCCAATTTGATTGCCGGAGGCTGACCCTTCTCCATGGGACCTACCATGACCTCAAACCCCTGCTCTTGGACTCCCTGGGTGGGCTCTGCGAGGGAGTGGATGAAGTCTATGAGCTCATGTTGAAGAACCCAGAAAGAGTCCTCCTCCTTTTTGACGGTGTGGGAGAACTGAAGGATCCAGATGGCTTTCCGTCTGGTTCAGGGAGCCCGTCCCACAGGAAAGCTCACGGCATTGGCATCATCTTGGCCGCCCTTTTCCAGAAGAAGTTACTCAATGGCTGCACTTTGTTATTAACGGCACGGCCCAAAGCAAGGCTTCCCCAGTATTTCCCTCGGGTGGACACAGTCCTGGAAGTCGTGGGCTTCTCTGTGGAGCAGGCATCGCTCTACCTTGCCCGCTACTTTGAAGGCTCCTCCCACTGGGATCAGAAGGTGAACCTGATCAAAACCTCTCCTTACCTGTTCAGTCACTGTTACAATCCTGGCCTCTGCCAGTTTATTTGCGGGGCTATATTTGAAATGAGAGGTGAAGAGCTGCCTTCCACTCTTACCGGCCTCTTCGTTAGGTTCCTTCTCCACAAGTTGGCAAGTTCAAGAGCAAACAGCGCGGCCTCAGACTATCAGAACATCACTGCCTTAGCTGAGGTCTCTTGGTCTCTTGGTCAACGTTGCCAAAATGCCCTCTTGAGCGATCAGTTCCCTTCCGTTGATGTAAAGGAGTTTGCTCTGAAGACTGGGCTCATGGTGGAGGAGCGGGGTGTATATGTGTTTTCCAACTTCGGGATCCAAAATTTCTTGGTGGCCCTGCATTTGACTCTTGCCAAAGAGATCAAGGGCAAAAAACTCACCAAATACCTTGGCTTGGGGTCCAAGTCCAGGAAATTCCTCTCTTCATGGGGCCTGGTGCCCCATTTCTTGTCTGGCTTACTGTTCTTTAAGGATGACCTCAGCAGTTCCTTCCTTTTTGGCAAGGAAGGTGAGCTAGATACAGAGAAGATGATCACCAAGAAGCAGAGAAGTCTTTCGAGATTCATCCGGAAAGTTTCCATTAGGGATTTAAGACCAGACAAACTACTGGAGCTTCTCCACTGTGTCCATGAAACAGAAGACCAATACCTCTTGAACCATTTGGTCCTGGAGCTCAGGCCAGACCTCTCTTTCTTGGGCTCTCCACTCACTCCATCTGATGTCGATGTCCTGCACTCTGTGTTGAGAAGGTCCTCCAAGGAGTTCGCTTTAGACCTGAGGGGGAGTTGCCTTCACTTGGATGGACTCAGGAGGCTTATTGACTTGAAGAATGTCACAAAGTTCAGGTTGGTTGGAGTTTTCTGAGTGTTGCATCTGGGTGAGGATTGGGCTTCAGGTCACTAGGTTTGGGGACCAGGTGTTATGAAAAAAGGGCCAAAGAGCAGTGGATCTAGTGGGGGAGCCTAGATAGAGCCAGTCTTTGGGGCCTGCAGATGAGATGGCTGGAACTACAGCTTGAAAATGCTTCTAAAGGTTATTTTTGAGGGACTTCCTATGGGATTTATTCTGATAGTTCTGCCCCCTCCTGACCACTCTCAATGGTACACAACCCAAGCAAGTGGGATGAGGTCTACCTCTCCTGCTTGTGAGTGATGATATGGAGCCTTTGGCCTGCTGGTACATGACTGTGTTGACACTGGCTGGGAGATGAAACCTGCACCCCCGAGAAAGGGCCAGGGTGGAGGTAGATTCCAAATTCAAACTCAAGATGTTTTGGTTGAGGCCCAGTGTCCTTGGCATGCACGTGAAAATTATCTTTGGAACAACTCAAGGCATCTTCACTTGAAGGGATGACAGGGCTAGAAGAGGGCAGATCTAAGGCCTGGGAAGGTGAGGGAGGAGCTGCTGTCAGTGCCGAGGGAGCAGCCTCAGGCTAGATCAGACCTTGGTCCATCTAGCGCTGCAGGGTGTCTGAGAAGGCCAGGACCAAACCCAAGGTCTTCCCAAAGTGAAGGCAGAATCAGATAGACTGGGGAAGGCAGAGGAAGTATTCCATCCCCGAGACTGGAGGAGTTTCTTGTCCTGAAGCCAGGAGGAGCTGGTGGTGGTGAATCCCTCTGCTGCAGCAGAACTAGTTGGAGACCTTCCAGCGTGAGAGTGACAGACTGAGTTTCCCCAGTTTCTTCAGGGACTCTTTTTGTAGGGTGCCCCTCGATGAGGCTGTTGAGCTCTGGAGGCACCTGTGGGAAATCAAGGAGAGGAAACCCCTGCAGACAGCCATGGAGAAATTCCTTGTGGTGTCCTTCAGAGCCAAGACAATGAAGGACGTGGACTCGCTTCTCAGTCTGGTGCAGCTGCAGAGAGAAATGGTGGAAAGGTGAGGCGACCCCGCTGAACTGGGCTGGGTTCTATGGGGAGATAGCTCGCCGCAAAGATCCCAACCTACAAAGCAATCCGACACACACATCCCCAAGACCTGCATGAAAGGAAGGTCTCTAGATTAGCAGAGCATGTGGAGCAGGGGATTTAGGAAGGGGAGCAAGCAGATACCCCGCAGCTGCTCCGGGGTCTGACGTGACTTGGAAAGCGCAGCAGGTGTGGTGCCCGTCAAGCAGACTTGCGAAGCCTTGTGAAGATGGAGGGCGCTGGGGGGTCTAGGCTAGGAGCCGCAACTGTCTACACGGAAGAGGTCCTGCCCTTTGCACCCTCCCTCTCTTCTGAAAGCATTACACGCTGACCATCTCCCCCGCCTTTTCGGTTCAGCAGGGAGGACTCAGGGGGTTCCAGCAGCCATCTCATTCCAGCCATCGCTGGGCTCCTGCAACTAGAATTCAGGTAACTTAATCGAAGCGTATTTTAAGAGGGGAATGCAGCAGCAGGCAGAGCCTCTTTGTACTGAGGCAGTATACCCCAGAACAGCAGCCTGCTGGGGATGGGGGGTGGATGCCAGAGCTGACGGATCCTCGGCCTCTTCTGCCAAGAGGTTCCCGGCCTGGCCATGGACTTCCTCGCGGGTTGCCAGTCAGGAGCGAAGGGGTTGGGGAGCCACCTGTCCCTGCACAGGGGAGGGGAGGAGCACACCCTTCCTGGCGGCTGAGGGGCACCTTGGGTTAGCGGGCGTGAAGGAACTGTATGCGAGGCTCGTGGCACAGGTGAAGCCGAGCAGGGGGTCACCACCAAGCTTGGGGCAAAGGCTGTTTCTGGTCTGGTCACAGCCTCTCCCTCCCTGCCAGAACAGAAGAAGGCTGCCTTCTCCCCTGCCACCGCCCCGTGTTCTTCCCTTTGCCAGCCACTCGCTGGCTTCATTCTGAGGGCAAACAACCCCCCCGCTTCCTTTGCCACCTCCTCTTCAAGAGCAACGACCTCCAGCCGGGTTGGACAACTCCCATCACCCACAGCTTGGAGTCCTCTAGGAGTCACCCAACCCATCTAGAGGATGCCCAGTTAGGGAAGGTGCCATTCCTGGTTCCGTGGCAAGGAAAAAAGGCCGTTGGCTTTTCCTCTTTCTCTGGATTCCAGCCCTTGGGAATTCTCTTGAAAGGTCGGGCCTTCTGTGACTTCTGTGCCACATGGAGAGCAAGGGGCGTGGGGGGGCTTGGACCAGGAGTCAGCGCCCCCTCTTTCTCCCTCCCCGCTTGCCTTGCAGCCTCGGGCCCAGCTGTGCCCTGGAGGGTTTCCAAAAGTTGGCGGAGTCTCTGGTTGCCTTTCCAGCTCTTCGGCATTTGGAGTAAGTGAGCAGAGAGCTTCCTGACTCCATCTGGGGTGTGTCTTTGAATGGGGGGCTGAGGATGAGGAGCCCTCCCTGCCGGGTGCCAGGCTGTGGGCACAAAGGTCTGGAGCGCATCAGGACCGCAGTAACGGGAAGCAGCAGGTCCTTCTCCCCCCACACGCATTGCTCTGCTGGGTCTTCGGGATAAACTGCCCTGGCAAGCGAGAGCCTTTGGAGGAGAGCTGGAATGGGGCTCCTGTGATATTCCTAACCCTGCTGGCGACCTCCCCACACCCTGCACCCCTGGATCTAGCAGCCATGAGGTGGTTCTCGCAATGCAGCCCGTTCCTAGCTTGGTTTCCCCAGGTGGAAAAGTGCTGCAGCCCGCGAGGTTTTGTGCTCGCTGAGGTGTTTTGCAGAACCCGTCTTTTCTCCCACTGCTTCCTTGCCTTGGTGGCCCCTGGCCAGTGCTTTCCCCTGAAAGCTAGCCCCAGATTGCCCAGCACAGTTTGCAGCCCTCTGACCACAGGGACCTGGTTGTTCCACAGCTTGGATTCCCCCGAAGAAAATGAAATTGGAGACGAAGGGATGAAGTTCCTCAGCTGCATCCTTCCGTGCTTGGCGTCTCTGGAAATGCTGAAGTGAGTCTGCGGTTCTGCACCTCCTGGTTGCGGGAAGCTGGAAGGGGCATGGCCAAGAGCCCCCAAGTGGCATCTCCTGGAGAGCCCTCTGAAGCGCCCGCGTCGGGGTGCGAACGAAGGAACCGGGTCGAGCCATTTAATGGCGACTGTTCGTCCAAAGTGCCTAACAGCCAAAGCTCTTGGGACCGGTTATAAACAGCATGAAAAATCAGAAACAAGAAAACCATAGCCTTTATTTAGGGTTAAGAGGCTGCCGCTGAGCGGTGGGCCGCCTCACCCAGCCTCCCGCGGCAGGGAAAGGAATTTCCCGCTGCCTGGAACGTCCTGAGCATGGCCATGTTTTGCTCCTAGCTTGTCCCGGAACAAGATCACGGATCTGGGCACAGAGCCGCTGGCCAGAGCCCTGCCGTCCCTGCCTCTGCTGAAGACACTCAGGTGAGGCCGGGCCCCTCCCCCCGACTGGGGCCAGGCCCATGGGCAGCCCTGACCCGTCGCCAGAGCCTCAGCAGCCGATCGGGAACCTGGCTCTAGCGATGGGCACGGAAGAGGGAGGTTAGGAAACAGGTGCCCCCCCCCATGCTGGGGGCTGTACCTCCTTTCTTCCCGCAGCCCTGCCTACTAAATGGCCCCCAACAGGTTTCCGTGGGGGAAATGTGGCCCTTGACCGAAAAGCGTGGATCGGCTCTCAAAGCTCACAGCTGTTTTTGCTCCGGTAGCTTGTACAAAAACAACATCGGGGATGCCGGAGCGGAGCGTTTTGCCGAGATGCTCCCCCAGATGAGCGCCCTGCGGGTGTTGGAGTAAGTGTCTGCGGTCTGTGGCCGAGCCCTGGGAGAGGGAGGGAGGGAGGCTTTATTCACAGCGTTGGAAGCCCTAGGTCTCGTACAGAACACCCCTAGCTGTGGCCACCCCAGCCTGCTCGGCCCCTCGACGGGGTGGGAATCCAGGCCAAGAAGAGGAGCTCGGCCCCAGCGGTTGAGTGACTCGGCCCCATCCCTGGTCTGCCCCACCAACTCTCAGGGGGGCCCCTGCACCCCAAAGTCCCAAATCCAGGGAGGCCTTGTAGAACAATAAGGGTGCTCAAAGACCCCGCTTGCTGCTCAGCCCTTTGCCATCTTCCTCGTGGCCGGCCTGCCCGTTTCTGGCAAAGTGAAGGGAGCGACCATAATTCAACAGCTGCCCTGTGCCGCCTTCCCCCCCAGCCTGCACTGCAACACGATTTCTGCCGCCGGAGCCCAGCGTCTGACGGACCGCTTGAGGAGATGCCCCCGCATTCAGAGCGTGGCGTAAGTCATGGCTTCTTGGCGATCGCGTCCTCCGTCCTGGCATGCCCAAAGTCTCCCTCCAAACTGCTCTAGATCAGATGGCCGCGCAGCAAACCCCTGTGCTGGAGCATTCTTCCACCTGGGGGCTTCTGCAGTGTCCCGAACTTCCTGGCCAGCTGCAGAGAGGGAAGCCCACCGTAATCAGATGCAGAGGATGGGGAAAGCCAGTCTGCGGTGAGAAGCAGAAGCTGGGGGCATTTTTGTAGGGAGACCCACTTCTTTCAGCTGCCTTGTTTGATGCTAACCTTTTTTTTTCCCCCAACAACTTGCTTTTTAAAAACCTTTCTAGGCTGTGGAACCCAACTATCCCTCACGGGGTTCTTGACCACCTGCAGCAGCTGGACTCTCGAATCAGAAGATTTTAGAGGCAGATGCGGACTGATAGGTTTGGACTCTGACGCGGGCGGGTGTCTTCAAGCGACGTTTAGGAGCTTCTGTGGTTCCACATTCCGCCTATTAAATGCTCCTCACTGTGGAACGTGTGCTGAATTACCCTCTTCCCAGTCATCAGCCTCTCAAAATGGGGGCTGGCGCTGTTGGTCCCCCTGCTTTTGAAACTACCATAAATCACCAGAAGCTATTTATGGTTGTCGGCGTGTTGAACCCTTTCATCTGGCCTGTGACAAAAATCTCTTTCAGTTAATTTCATCAAGGTAACTGATGAATAAGCACTTTGAATTAAAATGGTGCCCCCGATCAATCCATCAGGCTGAAGAGTCACTCCCCCGCCTCACGTCTTACTTCTAATCCTAGAGCTAGGAACCTTCGGGTGGCGATCGCGTGACTTTAAAGGAGGCCTCTCCCCTGTTTTCTCTCACACAGGAGGAAATTTTGCTGCTAAGCTAAAGCCGGGTGACCCATAAAGGCTGCTTTTTTTCTGTCCATGAATATAACCACCCAAAAGTACCCTCCGGGGTAGCTGGACTATAGGTCCTACGTTTTGCGATGTTGGTGAAGGCAAGTGGAAGAATGTCATAAAAATGGTGCGCGCGCGCGGGCATAGATGGATGTGTGCTTCCGTTCTTGCTCAAGCAGAAGTACCTGTGGAGAATAAGCCACTGACTTTTTTTTACTTCTGGTGCTTCCTGGATAAACTCAGCTACCTTTGAGCACTGACACCTTTCTGAAGTACTTCTGTGTGAATTCAGAAGATCGGCCGCTCGCAGCTTGCTGGAAGTGTGGAGAAATAACGTCTTGGAACTGACGCGCGAGCAGGCAAGGCAGAACTGGAATCCTGAGCACACAAGAGGTCATTTAGCAACTGGGGAGGGTGCCTCTGTGCCTATAAGCTTTTTTCTACACGCCAACTTACGGGAGTTAACTCTAATGTACAGTTTTCAGATCCTCAGGAACTGTCATTAAACCTTTTTCTAGAAGTGTCTGACTTGATTTTGGAAAATGGGGATATTTATGGAGTCTTGGATTAAAAATTCGGGGGAGCTGTTAAACGAGCAGTTTTGCACTGATTTTGTACAATGCATCCTTCCCTTTAGGAACTGACCAACCGAAGGTGAGGAAGGACGGTTATTTTGCCATGGCCTCCAAAGGGTTAGACAGAGCTGAGGGGAAAAGTTATTGGTGGTTATTCCTAAAAGGAGTTTGGTGAGGCAGCAGAGGACGGGACCTGCCTTGAGCACCGGCCCCCCAAGCTGCTGGGCGACATGGGCCTCTGGGTCTTCAATCCAGTAGAGCTTGTTTCACCATTTCCAACCCTATCTGAACTCATCTCGCAAAGGCCAAACACTTTGTTTTACTTTTGGGTTGTCGCATCTCCGGCCTTCCCTCGAGATTAATATTTTTGGGTTGCAACCTTCAGGAAAAAAATGCACGAATTCAAACTGTACTTCGGCATTCGTTGTCTTCACTGGAGTGACACGCTGATAGTAATTTGCAGCTCATCCTATGGACTGGCCCAGCATCCCGTGGCCAGGCCAAGCCCGCTTCTGCTAGGGCCACACAGCCTCTCTGGCCGAACCTGTGGGGGGGAGACTTGAATCCCCACTTCAAAGCATGCCGGCGCAAAGGTCCCAAGAGGGCAATCCGGCTGCGGCCCCTGCCTTGAAACCACCCCTTGTGGCAGATCAATAAAAAGGCAAGACTTCTAGCTCACCTGCACACGGGTATATTTGAAAGGCTGGGGTTATCAAGATATTGCTTTTTTACATTTTCTGCTTTACATAACAATGCATCTGAACATTTTCCAAAATAACCTGTAGTCATCAGTGACAAGGCCCTGCTTTCCTTCCCCAAAATTACAAAAATACTTACAAAATCAGCTCTTCTCCGTAACACTGTGTGACAGAAACACCCCAAATCCCTGCAATTTTTTTTTATTCTTAATTACTCTTTAAAAAGCGGACATTTTGTGGGCTTTTGCAAAGGTTCATGGGATCCAAAAAGTAAAAAAATAAAATCTAAGAAGTGCAACTTGATCATTTACGGCAAATTAAGATTGTCAGTTGGAGACTTCCAACAATTCCATGTTTTGAAAGACCGGAAACTCGAGCCTTTGTGGCTAACAACACTTAAGGACTCATGTGCAAATTGATTGTTTCACCATATTTCCACCCGTGTCCCCCTGCAACCGGAAACTTAGCATGTTAGGGAGAAGGCTTCATTAATGTCATACGAGCTTTCCACATGCAGGAACACATTTCATCTAAGAATAGCAAAGTTCTGTTTTAAAAGCTCTCACAGATATGGATGGTATTGATAACTGAGGGCTGTATTTTACCGCCCTGCAAGGAAAATGTGGTTTTGGGATCTTCTGCACGGCCAGCTCTCAACTGCTAAGCAGTTCCGTGTCCAGGAACATGCATGCAACCTCAGGCTCTCACAATTCTTCTTCCAACACCCTTCAAGGCTGGCTGTCCCATCACAGCCACCGCTTGCCTTCCCTAAAAGTCCAAGCTAGCTCCGGACATACCTCTGGCTCTTCAAAAGCCACAGAACCCATTCTCGCTCCCTGGCAATTTGCAAACGAGGAGGAAATTCCTTTGTTCAGCGTAACAAGTTAGCATCTCGCTGTGTTTTAGGTAGCCGGAAGCCCCTCCAGATTCTCTGTGTAAACCCTGACGGTGTTCAGTGAATTCCCGCAGAGTCCCAGGAAGCCCTGTAAAGAGCCACAGCCGCGGCAGGTCCCCTCCTCGGTCCGGCTTCCCCGGGGAGCCCAGCAGTGCCCGAGGCGAGCCTTGCCGCATCCCTGCGCTCCTTTCTGCAGCCGTTGCCCTTCTTCCCTCACGCGGCAAACCTGCAGAAACGGGGACAAAACGTTAACGGGCGGCCCGCGCCCCTGCAGGAAAGGCGGGCAGACCCTGCTCGGCATGGCGCAGGGCGGCCCGCCGGCTAGCTCTGCGGGGACAGCCGTCGGCCGCCAAGGCCGCCTGGCATCCTCCTCTCCAAGGCTCGGTGAGGAGGAGGGGCCCGGGTCTCTCTCGGAAACTCGGCCGCCCCCTCCGGCCGCCCGCGCCCGTACCTGCGGCGCTCGGCCCCACCCCCCGCTGGCGTCCAGCCGCTCCCCCCCCCCCCTCCGCCCGGGGCACCCGAGC